CTTTTTTTTTTTCGATTTTTCGATTTTTCGATTTTTCGATTTTTCGATTTTTCGATTTTTCGATTTTTCGATTTTTCGATTTTTCGATTTTTCGATTTTTCGATTTTTCGATTTTTCGATTTTTCGATTTTTCGATTTTTCGATTTTTCGATTTTTTTCGATTTTTCGTTTCGATTTTTCGATTTTCGATTTATTTTTCGATTTTTCGATTTTTCGATTTTTCGATTTTTCGATTTTCGATTTTTCGATTTTTCGATTTTCGATTTTTCGATTTTTCGATTTTTCGATTTTTCGATTTTTCGATTTTTTTTCGATTTTTCGATTTTTCGATTTTTCGATTTTCGATTTTTCGATTTTTCGATTTTCGATTTTTCGATTTTTCGATTTTCGATTTTCGATTTTTTTTTCGATTTTTCGATTTTTCGATTTTTCGATTTTTCGATTTTTCGATTTTTCGATTTTCGATTTTTCGATTTTTCGATTTTTCGATTTTTTTTTTTCGATTTTCGATTTTTCGATTTTTCGATTTTTCGATTTTTCGATTTTTCGATTTTTCGATTTTTCGATTTTCGATTTCGATTTTTCGATTTTTCGATTTTTCGATTTTTCGATTTTTCGATTTTTCGATTTTTCGATTTTTCGATTTTTCGATTTTTCGATTTTTCGATTTTTCGATTTTTCTTTTTCGATTTTTCGATTTTTCGATTTTCGATTTTTCGATTTTTCGATTTTTCGATTTTTCGATTTTTCGATTTTTCGATTTTTCGATTTTCGATTTTTCGATTTTTCGATTTTTCGATTTTTCGATTTTCGATTTTCGATTTTTCGATTTTTCGATTTTTCGATTTTTCGATTTTTTTTCTTTTTCGATTTTCGATTTTTCGATTTTTTTTCTTTTTCTTTTTTTTTCGATTTTTCGATTTTTTTTTGATTTTTGATTTTTGATTTTTGATTTTTGATTTTTGATTTTTGATTTTGATTTTGATTTTGATTTTTGATTTTTGATTTTTGATTTTTGATTTTGATTTTTGATTTTGATTTTGATTTTTGATTTTTGATTTTTGATTTTTGATTTTCGATTTTTCGATTTTGTTTTTTTTTGTTTTCGATTTTTCGATTTTTCGATTTTTCGATTTTTCGATTTTTTTTTTTGATTTTGATTTTTGATTTTTGATTTTTGATTTTTGATTTTGATTTTCAATTTTCATTTTTCATTTTTCATTTTTCATTCTTCAGATTTCAGTTTTCATTTTTTAGTTTTCAGTTATCAGTTATTTGTTATCTGTTACCTGTTTTCTTTTATCTGTTACTTTTTATCTGTTATCTGTCATCTTTTATCTTTTATCTGTTATAAGTTATCTGTTATATGTTACCACCTGTTACCTGTTACCACCTTTTACCTGTTATCTGTTGTCTGTTTTCCATATAGCATTGAAAATATCCTGTATACAATTGTATAACAGACTCAGATTTATGTGAGATGCCGGCAACGTCGCATGTGTTGTTGTTAATACCATACATGGCGTTATAAAATCTTCCATGTAGCAAATTGTATAGCAGACTTAGATTTATATGAGGATCGTCGCATAAATCTAGCTATAACACGACTTGCAAAAAAATGGCGCTTGACACTGACATATGTCAACCGTGTTCGTCTATGGATAGCAGTGGACTATGCTTTCTTCAGTGTATATGTTTTCTGTTTTGTAATGTCAATGTCATTGTCATAGGTAATTTTTTCTAACCTGGAAAATGAAATGTATTTTGTTTAAAATTAAAATTCAATAACTCCTATTGTGAGATGTGTGCATCTACAACATAATGA